AGCCCGTGTGAACCCGCCAGAGCCCGTGTGACCCGCCTGAGCCCGTGTGAACCCGCCACAGCCCGTGTGAACCCACCAGAGCCCGTGTGACCCGCCAGAGCCCGTCGGAACCCCCCAGCTGCAGGGTGACAACTGATCTAATAAAGATAAAGAGAAAAAAACCAACATTGGTTTTGATTTTATGACATTTTATGGGGTATATTCCATCGTTTAAGCAGAAGATCCCCCCTCCTTTCTCTCCCTGAGGATGGAGTCAGAGGAACCTCCAGCGGCCCCCCTAACTTTCCTCATCTCTGATTCCCATCCGTGATTTCAGGTTATTTCCACAGCTTTGATTTGAACATCTGAGGAGCAGAACTCCTGTTTCTGAGCAGAATGACGGTAAATAGAAGGCGCTCTGAGTGTTGGAGGCGTTCCCGGATCTCTGATAAGATCCCTGCTGCGTTGAAGGAAGCGTGAAGCTGATGAGGAAGGTTTCCTGGTGACTCTGATCAATAAGTGGCTCCTCTCCAGCTCCTGACTCTGTGTCAGGTACCATCCTGCTCTCCTCGTCCTCGCCTCCTCTCTCTCCCTCTGAATTTGCTCTTTTCATGTTTCTCTTAAGGCGTCTGTGATTTCGCCTCCTTCTTCCTCTGCAGCTCTCAGGTCTGATGTCTTCTCTGCACGGCGGCGGCGGCGGCTCGGCTGCCGCCTGTTTAATCAGCTTGTTGAGCGTGCAGGTTTGATGTTCCTTGTCTCTGTGTTTAATCAGTCGGGCTGCAGGTTTGATGTGGACCCAGAGTTAATAAAGCAGCATCTTCAGCTCCTTCATCAGCTGCAGCGCTTTGTTCCGCCTCTCGTGGCGTCTCTGAGACAGACAGCTGCTCTCCAGCTCTCTAGTGTTCCTGTTGCTCCGTATCTGGTCCCGTCTAATCTCTGGAAGGACTGGAATGTGATTCGTTCCCTCAGAGCCAGGAGTTTTTTTGTCTTTTACATCAAGGAACCGTTTGGCTGAAATTCATCAGTCTGCTTCATCTGGTGTCTGAAAACATTCCCAAAGTTTCTTTCTGCTGCTTGATGATCATTTCAGTATTTTCATCACAATAAACTGAGTTTGGAGGCCAAGTTTTCATTGCCTCTGTCTGAACGTCCGTCCTGACCCTTGACCCCTGACCTCTGACCCCTCAATCACTATATAGTGGATTTTATACAGGGTTCCTGCAGGTCCTTAAAAAGTCTTAAAAGGCATTGAATTATTCAAAATAAAATTAAGGCCTTAATTGGTATTAAAATGTCTTAAATCAGTCTTTCGTAGGTCTTAATTTTTAAAACATCATAAATAGGATTATTTTTATTATGATTTATTTTTGTAATCTAAATAAAAAATTTAAATTGGAATCTTTTTTTATTTGAAAGAAAATAATGGCTCACCATTATTGGTTCCGTCCCGATAGCGGAACCAATAAAAGCGTTGTTGCGGCCGGGACATTTGGGACTTTTTGTCTGGAAAATATGAGCAAGTGTAA